ATAATTATCATGTAATGACGTGGCTTGAGGTACTTTAGTAATCTCATTGATTTCTTAGCTCTTTGCTGTATCCTACTAAACAAATTCACTGGAGAAAGAGAATATGAAATGGAAATGTACATTTTACTGCACATAAAATTAGATGCAATATTTACTACAGCACATAGAACTAGTCATGCTATTAGGCATTTTAAATTATTTACCAATTATAAAAAGTGAATATGCTTCTTGGCAACTTCAGATCAGTGTTGAATTTTTTTAAAAGCAATTAACTTTAAATGTCCATAAATCATTTTAAAAAGTATATTGCCATACCATTTTAAGAGATTTGAATTTTTGGGCAGTTTTCTACTGAAGGCCTGCTGAATTAATTACAATTAAAAATAATTTTGATTTTAAATTCCTCAGGGAAGGATTTGATAAAAACTTTCATATAAAAATGTCATTCATCATACATTAAAATAAGCATCGTGGTTAGGTACTGGACTCAAGAAGTAGGTGTCAGGATTTGAATCCTGATTTTGCCACACTGGGTTTAATGACCATCGGAAATGACTTAAATCCTTTGAACCACAGTTCCTAACTGCAAATCAGAATAATAAAGAGAGCTACCTTGTAGAGTTCTTGTGAGCGTTAAGTGAATTAATCAGTGTAAAGTCCATAGAACAATGGTCATTGGTATGACTGTTACTCTACAGAAGCATAATTTAAAAATATTTGCCTTGTGAATGAATACAAGATACTTTAAGTATCAAGAAAACTAATAGTAAATCTCAAATCTGAGGCTTTGTGTCTTCTGCAATTTTTTAAAATATTTGGCATAATCTTTCTATATGGTCTTTGGGTTCTAACTGCACATATGTTGGAGCTTTTTACCATGTATTATATTTCATTTATGATCTTTTTTTGTATATTCCATTATTTTCTCTATTTCAGTATAGATATTTTCTACTGGCCTGTTTTCTTCACTTCAGCTTTGTCTGTCTAATTTGCTATTAAATCAATTCAAGTTCTTAATTTCAGTTACTGAAATTTTAGTTGGAGAATTTTCGTTTGGTTCTTTAATATAGTTTCTAAATTTCTGCTGATTTTCCAACTTTTTTTTTCCTTAAATATCACACATTTAAAATTTCATAGTTAATAATTTTGATACAGATTTCACCTATTTTGGAAAGTTTACACTACTTCGCTTTTATAAAAGATCTGAACTAGTACCTGATTTTGCTAATAGAAAGAAATCTGAAGAGGACTTTGCTTTCACAAAAACAGGCAAAAGGGAAAAGTAGTTCTCAGCATTTGTTTTGCCATTGTAAAAGCAGTATGCGCCCCTAGCAGTGAGATGGTATAACCGAGTTCCTTCCGGGGGAACTACACCCAGCATCTCAGCATCAAGCTGTTTCTGAGAACTCTGTGCTTTATCTCGATATATCTTGTGCATCCATTAGCAAGATGCATCCTAAGGAAACTGCTTCTGTGACTTTTGCTATTTTGGCTTCACAGAAACGCTCTACTTTTGGATAGTGGGGAAACCTGTATATGGATCTTCTGTGGGCATGTTCCTATTATCTCTTTTTTCTTTTGGTTTTTAGTATTTTGATCTTATTGTCTGATATGCTGGGTAGCTTTTGGTTAAATGCTGGATGTTGTAATTATATTGGTGCTCTTTATGGCCCTGAATAATCTTGTCTGCCTTTGGAAAGAACTTATTGTTACTTCTGGCAAACTGTTAGGGAACATGCAGATCGATAATCTTATTTCAGTTTTTCTAAAGGTAGGATGACGTTTAATTAGCTCTGCATCTACAATACAGCCATTGAGAGGCCACAGCAAGAATCTTAGGGTGTTTTGTATGATCCTCCTTGATGCTTCCTGAGCCTGGAGAAAAAAGTAAAAGTGTTAGTTGCTTAGTAGTCACGTCTCACTCTTTGCGACCCCAGGGACTGTAGTCTGCTGGGCTCTTCTGTCTATGGAATTCTCCAGGAAAGAATATTGGAGTGGGTTGCCTTTCCCTTCTCCAGGGGATCTTCCTGACCCAGGATTAAACATGGGTCTCCTGCATTGCAGGCAGATTCTTTACCATCTGAGCTGAGCCACCAGAGAGGTCCCTTCTCTGGCCTACTTCAGAGCTATTCAACCTTCCACGAGGTTACCCCAAGTCTGCTTAGCTTCCCCGCCACTGCTCTCTGCTCTCCTGCAGCCTGGATATAGGCCACAGCTTATTACGCAGCAAATGGTTATTGAGGATCAGCAGGGTCAAATGCCAGGTTTCTATGCGTCACCTCCCACCTGGGATTTTGCCCCCAAATTCTTCAAGTACAGTGGCTCTGTAGTATCTTCCAACAAAGTTTGAAACATTATTTTGGTTTTTCCAAATGTTCTCAGTGGAAAAGTTGGTATAAAAATACCCATCACCAAGCCATGTGTGGAAATGCTAGTAATCATTCACTCTTGAGGAATCTATTTGGCTGCCTTTCATACTGCCAAATTCCTCTTTTACTTGCAAAAGCTTCGTGCATTTTTATCCAAACATCTTTTGCTCACATGTATACATAGACTTTCACTTTCATCTTCCTTTCTCTGACTCCTAATTTTTCTGACTCCCCTTATTTTTGGTAACTTATTTCAGGAAAACCATCTCCAGTAACAATTTCATATGGAAGTTCTAATTACTAAATATAGTACTAGTATTAAAAATACAACAGTGAGGAGGGAAAGCCTATAAATCTTAATATGCAGAAAGACATCAAAATGAATCATTATCATTAAATACAGCTTTTTAAAAATTCTATAATGTTCCCAGTCTGAATATCCACAAATCAAAATCCTTGCTTATCTCCTTTTCTTATATTTAAGTTGCTTTTCAAACAGCAATATTCAATAAATAAGTTAACGGTAGAATTATAAGACCAAATATTTAATTAAAAAATGTTTAAGGTATGGGATCAGAATTTTATTACATCGCTGTCTATTCCTCCCTGCCCCAATTATTTGATGCAAACTTTTGACCCTATTAGGAGAATCTGTTATTGCCTTTTTGACGATTTTCTCTTTCAAGTTGTCTAAGCAAATGAGGTACTTATTTAGTCAAAAGAAGTCAGTGCTGCTTTCAAATGTCAGGTGGCCCTTTGCTTCTAGCATGGTTGAAAATTTAAATATCATAGATGAACAGAACCTTGTCCACTTTGTGATGAAAAACTCAGTGGCTCAAATTGCTGCCCTGGCCCCAGTAGTTGCACACTGTTGGGTTCTGAGGATTATAGCATTTAAAACTTAAACTTGTTTTCATTAAGGCAAACTTCTCAAACACTGACCATTTTATGAGGGGAACAGAATTAACCTTTCTTTATCAACTTCATAGCTTTAGGTGTTGAGCCTGAGTTCCTGGTTCTGACTTCGTTCTTCAATTGTGGTTCCTTTTGGAGTCTGTTTTTCTTTTCCCCATTAGCAGTTCTCTCTTGAGACCATCTCAATCCATCAGAGCTAATATTAAATTGAAAATTAGGGAAAAAGATGTGATTCCCTTTCTCAAAGTCTCCTTGACCTCTACGTAAATTTCCCGCAAGAACCAAATCTAAATTAAAGTGTTTGCAAGAAGCAGAATTTTGTCAGGCCACGCAGGTTTTGTTAGACACTTCCCTGGGGAAATAGCTGTTTTTGTAATTGTTTAATATAGAGGCTAATTAAGTGATTAAGAGTTAAAAAGGTCTTCTCTAAAGTGATTTTATATTCATCTTCAGTATAACTATTTTTTAGCAGTTTTCTTGTTCAAAAGTTTTTTTGGTTTTACCTGACTTTGATCATTTTAAGATACTTCATTTGGGAGAGAATTGACATGTACACAAATAACTGTAAGTCAGTATGGGAAAATATATATTGGAAATTTAAGGATATAGTGGTTACTCTTTATAATTCATTTTAAGAAATAACAAAAGATAATAATTAGCAAAAAGTTTACTGGGAATTAGGATTTTTTTTGAGTTAGTTTGGGAATGTGATCACTGTATCTGCAGAATAAACATATTAATGCATTCTATTTTTTTTTTTAATTTTTCATTAAAAAAATTTTTTTAATCAAACCAATTTTGTCCTTTTTGATACATTTTTTTCATCAGTCATAGCTCTTCTTTAAACATAAATAAGACATTTTATATTTTCGTATTTTACATTTCCAAAATCTCAGAATTTGCTGGTCTGATTCTGTTGCCTGTTATTCCTAATGACTCTTACTTATGCGTTGTTTTTTTTTTCCTTTTGTACCTTGTTTTCACTGTAAGCTCATATTCCTTGAAATTTTATCTGAAGGAATTCCTTGAAGTCTGGGTTTAAAGTACAATCCTCAAGAGAGAAATGCATTTTGGGAATTCCCTGGTGATCCAGGGGCTAAGACCCCACTCTCCCAAGTTCGACCTGGCCAGGAAACAAGATTCTGCATATTGCAACTAAGAATCTGCGTGCTGAAACAAAGACCCTGTGAACAGCAACTAAGACCCAACACAACCAAAATAAGTATTTTAAAAAGAGAGAGAGAGGAATGCATTTGCTTCTGCCAGGTACCTGGAGGCACTCCCAACCAGAGACCACTTTAAACTGACTTGTAGCGTGAAAATACCCGTCCACAGGCAGTATGAATTCTCCACCCAAACAATACTGAGAGCCAGCTGCACTTACCTATCACCAGGGACACTTTCTGTCCCCACCTCCTACCTCCCCTTGCATCCAAAACCAAAGCTAAGAAGATGAGCTGTGGGATTGGGTCCCTCTTTGAATGATGGTGTCATCTGTCCGGCTGAAGGAGGAAGGGGCTTTGATCTGACTTCCCACTTTGTAGGACCCTTAGGTTTACTGCCCACCCACATGTGGCCCCTGAAACAGTAGTTCTAGGCCACCCACAAAAGCAGCAGGATAAAAAGATGAGACACAGAAGTGTTTATGATCTGGCTCCTGCATGAAGACCCAGTCCTGGGAGCCACTCACAGACTCTCTATGGCCTTCAACCAGCCTCAAGGTCCTTTTCCATCTGTATCAGAATCATTAAGGCAAGGATGGGAGAAGGACACAAGGACGATGACCCCGATGCAAGCAGAGGAAGAGTGGCGTGGCAGAAGGCTCAGCTGCTCCTTTTCAGCCCTCAGGCAGTCCAAGAGGCTTAGAGTCATCTCTGAGCTAGTCGAGTTCCAGGGCAGCTGTGACCCTCGCCCTTGAATGGGAAAGAACCAGAACAGGCCAAGCACAAAGGTGTCCCCACAGATGCACTTCTCACTGCGGCAGCAGCAGAGCTGAGCACGCTCCTTACTACTCTTTGCTCAAAGGGAGATGCCTTCTGTCCTTGCCTGCATTTCGGCGCCTCTTTCGACTCAAGAAGCTCCCTAGCTTCTTGCTTCGTTTCAGCTCCTTAAGCTTCTCAGCCAGGACCAACTGGCGCTGCTCAGATTTCTTCAGGAAGTGTGGCCGATGGCCTTGCTGGGCCTGAGCCCGCCGCTCCTGCTTCAAGGCCAGGCGTAGCTCCTGCTTCAAGGCCAGGCGTAGCTCCTGCTTCAAGGCCAGGCGTAGCTCCTGCTTCAAGGCCAGGCGAAGCTCCTGCTTCAAGGCCAGGCGTAGCTCCTGCTTCAAGGCCAGGCGTAGCTCCTGCTGCCGCCTTCGCTCCTTCTGTGCCATTTCTTGCTGCTCCATTCGCGGAAGCAGCTGCTGTAGTTTCTCATGCTCCTCCCCTGAACGGCGCTTCTTCAGCTGCTTTTTCACCAGCTCTTTCTCTCTGGCTCGGATGTCATCTAGGAATTGATACGTTTTATCGAACACCTCAGGACTATACTCCCCTGACAGAGCATCAAAGCGGGGGTCCCGGGCCACCTTCTTACTGACGGGGACAACCTGCCGCAAAAATGGCACCCGGACCTTGGCTGACATCTCCAGAGGCCTGTGCTTATCTGCAACACATGCTTTTGGGACAGGTGGTCTAGAACTCTGCTTCTTAGCGCTGCTTCCTGTTACCAATCGTTTGCAGCCTTTAGTCCCCACTTGACTCTGCAGTTCTAACAGCTCCTCAAATGACATGTGAGACGTGTCCTTCTGCAGGCCCCCGTCGTCCTCTCCGCCATCCTGAGCCCTGCTGGGAGACCCTGCAGCCGCCCCGCCGCGGGAGCTTGCTCCTATTAATGCATTCTAAATCAGCGATGTGGAAATAGACTTCAGTACCAATCCTTTATAAATTGGAAGCTGCATGTGTTTCTGCTACCATTTTTTTTTTTTTTTTTGCACTTTTCATGTTTTGCTCTATGTTTAAAGTGGAGTCAATGAATGTGAGAGAATTTGGTATCTTCAAGAAGACAAAAAGATGTCTGATATGTGAAGCACTTCATTTTGTGGGAGTAATGTTGTAGGATTAAAGGTTTTGCTTAATTTATACTCAAGCATTCAGGAATTCATGTATCAAGAAGGTGTGGTTTATCTGCTTTCTGTTAAGGAATCAGAACTAGCTACTATACATCATATAGATTCCTGCCAGTGTTCCTCCTCCCTCCTTTCATGTGTTAATGAAAGATCCTGGATGACTATTTATCATGGATTGCATTTATTTCTCCCTGTCTTAGTTCTTATTACAGAGAACATCATTGGAAAGACATCATACTTTCATAGATGACTAATCTGTGATTAAGATAGATCACCCATTGCTTCATAAGTAACATCTGGCATCAAAGATAATTCCATTGACTTGAAATCTCATAAAATGTAACATCATTAGACTGAATAAAAGACTGTCATTCTCTCTGGTTATAATGAACCATTCCTACAGAAAGTCACACAAAGGTGTTTTATAATTTTCCCTAAAGGTCTATAAAAATGGCAAACACATTTTCTGGAGCTAACATGGAATTCAATTCCCCATGAAAAAACCATAAGAAAAAAGATATAATTCTGAGGCACAGATCACACTTTACCAAGTAGCTTCTAGTTTGCTGGTACTTGTTTTGCTGATCTATAACCACATATGCCAACAGTGGAGACAATTGATTTCTAATGAAAAATGTTTCTGTAGCCAATATGGCCCATAAACTGTATCACTTTCCCTCTAGATAATAAACATAAGTGAAAAAATTGTATACATAATTATATCACTAATAGGTTTAGATTGATGAGAAAGATTTACTGTTTTCTGGGAATAAATCAAGAAGTCATTTTTTTTTTTTTCTTCCAGTCTCTAATGATGTCAAATCAACTCTGGGAACTTTCTGAGTTCATATGAGATAGTTATAGTTTTAGCCAAAAAAAAGCTAAAAATCACATTAATTAAAGACAATAAGGTTTCTTTGGTGGTCTAGTGGTTAAGAATCAGCCTGCGGTGCAGGGGACATGGGTTCAATACCTGGTCTGGGAAGATCCCACGTGCCACAGTGCAAGTAAGCCTACAGGCCACAGCTGCTGAGCCAGTGCCCGGGAGCCTGTGCTCCACAAGAGAAGCCTCCACAGTGAGAAGCCCGCATGCCAGAACTAGGGAATTGTCCCCACTCACCACAATGAAAGAAAGCCCGTGTGCAGCAATGAAGATCCAGCATAGCCAAAAACAAATGAATGAATAAATGAATAAATCTTAGAAAAAGCAATAACAGTAGGTTTTAAAATTATTATAAAATAATAATAGAATAAAAATCAAGAATATTTTCTTTAAAGAAACTTTTGATGCAGAGTTTTAATTCAAAAATTAGGTATTTTCAAGAGCTGAACTTGCTATAATGCTAATTGCTTTGTTGTCTGAAAAGTTTTGCTCATCCTATCTTCCCGATGGCACAGTGAAAAAAATTATATTCATAATTTCTCTATGAAGCTAATAACATTTTACAGGAATTAAAAGTAATATGTAGTAAAAGTGAAAATACTAGTGTGAGTTGTTGATTAACATACTCTTCTCATTTAAAATATATGAGTTTAAAAATGCAATAAGTTGAAAAATCTGAATGATATATATCGATAGTATTCATGTATACACACAACTTTTGACAGATGTTCTATTTATATGTAATATGCTTTTAAATGTTGATTTATCCTTCTCTAGGGAATAGTACAGTATCAAAAAGCAGGAGATAGGTGATTTCATGGTACATGAAATAACATAGAAAGTTATTTCTGTAGACACTGCCTTCTGATTACACTATCACAAAGATTTTTTATATTTTTAAATAAGTAACTAACTGCAGAAGAGACATTATTCATATTACTGTGCCTTCTTCTTTACCAAAGAATTTCAATTTCTCTAAATTTTGGTTACTCTGTCAGTAAAAGAAAACAACAAAAATGTCCAAGCCAGACTAGACTAGACTCTATAGTGCTCAAATGACTATAAATGATAACTCTAAGAGGTTCTCTCCAACTGGTAGCAAATAAATTCCCTTAAACCTTTTTTGGATGAATGATTTATTTAAAATACAAAAGAATATGTGGAATGTACAGTCTAGTTTTAAACACCTAGTGGTAGTCTTCAAAGGGAAGGGAATTAGCATTTTTAAAGTACTGACTGTTTGGTGCTCTGCCGGTTTCTCTACAGTTGTTTGTTGCCAGTTGCTCCTTAATCCTTTCTTTAATTCAGGGACACATTTCACCTGCTCAGACAGTAGGGCTTAGCGAATATAAGTAAACTGTTCAAGGTGACATAGCTATTTCATACTGGGAATATATTTCAAATAGATAACTATCTAACTCAAAAGGCCATGCTCTTTCCATTATATCACCCTAGTGACAAAATTGTTCAAAATCAATGTGTTGGAGAAGTCTACTTCTTGTGAATATATAGATCAGCTGTCAGCAGTAGTTAGACTGAAGGCTAACATGCAGTTAAGCAGGTTTTCTTTGTGAGGCAAAGATTTTTGAATTTAATATATTTCTGTTAAATAATAGAAGTCAGGCCCTTTTAAGGGTAAGAGGGGTTCTAATAACCTGTTAGTTCAGAAACTGGAAAGAGTCTGATAATTTGCCAGTTTACACACACACACTGTTCATGGTGTTCTCCCAGCAATGCAAGGCTGTATATTGTCACCCTGCTCATTTAACTTATATGCAGAGTACATCATGAGAAACACTAGGCTGGAGGAAGCACAAGCTGGAATCAAGATTGCCGGGAGAAATATCAATAACCTCAGATATGCAGATGACACTACCCTTATGGCAGAAAGTGAAGANTCTGGGAGTTGGTGATGGACAGGGAGGCCTGGTGTGCTGCAGTCTATGGGGTCGCAGAATCGGACACACACACACACACAGAGTAACATAGAAGAGAAGTTCTCTGGGTCAGACAGAGAGAGAGAATTCTTTTTGCCCTCAGCAAAACATAGCAGCCAGAGAAATGACTTACACCAGCTTCTCATGTTCATGTTACCAGAGGGTGAGAAGATGAGCCTGACAATTATTTCCATTTGCAGTGGGTTGTACCACAGGAGAAGAATCTCAATCTAAGGAGACGCTGAGCTTTAATTGGGGCTGTTGGTGATGTTCTTAGCTTCCATTCTGGAGAGAGATTATTCATTACCCTGGAGAGTAAGAAGGTCTCCTCTGGTGTAGCTGAGAAAGGCATTACAAGATTTAGTATCCTGAAAGGTAAGCAAAAATGCCCGGAAGGAAAGACCTTTCTTTTCTCTATCTTGGCATGTCTCTAAATCTCTCTGGAAGAAGATAATCTTCAGTCTTCGTATTCAGTCATGCACTTTTTTCCAAGGCCTAGAATTCGCAAGAATTCCAGAAGTTCTGGGGAACTGTCTTAGCCCTAGAAAAAGCAGAGCATGGAACACTGACTTAAATGCAAACAGTCTATTCAAAGTGTGATGGGAGGCGGCAGGAATGAGCCACAGGGAATGAAACAGGAAGCAGGGGAGCCAATGAAAGTCTTTACTATGAAATGCCTCCTGTGGCCCTTTGGAAGATGTTGCACTTTCTCCTGATGGTGATTGACCTTTTTTCACATCTCTGTGGCTCATGTGAAATGGTAGTTAGTATGGTACTGTATTATATCCCATTGGTTCACATCTCTTGTTCCCTCACTCCTTTTTCCCCCCACTGTCACCTCCTGTGTTTGCTTACATGTCTTCAAATAAAGCATTTCTCTCCCAGCTTTGCTGTAGGCTCTGTTTTCTAGAGGACTTTAGGCTAAGATGATGTGCTTTGTGATTTAAGAAGATATGCTTTTGCAGACATCATATTAAATGTATCCTTTTAAATTTGAGCTTTTTAAAAATCAAAATTACATTGTGGACATTAATAAACTATTGTTTTAAAGTGTCTATGTAGAAAAAAGCAGTGATCTGTTCTACTGCCTTTCCACTTCTGCATATTCAAACTCCAGAGGCAGTATTTCCCAACTCTTTACCAATAACATTTATTATTTAAATATCTCTTTCATATGTTAATGCAGTTTTAGAAAACACCAATTTTAGGCATGTCTATTTACTACTATGATGTTGAGGGGTTATAACTTTTGTGGTGTTCAAGCTTATCCCTTCTGCTTATCCCATCACATCGTTGTTTTTTGTCTGGTTAGTAACTGACTCATTTTCCCATTTACTCAGTTTTTTATATACCCATGATCATTTTTTTCCCAGGATTTTCCAATTTAATCTAACAAATACCAATGATAATATTTCTAAACTCTCCAACTTATTAAACAATTTCTTCCATTTCATTTTCTTGGGAATCTCTTTTTAAACCTGATCTGGAAAAATTACTGTGTAGAAATAACACTCATTATCATCCTGGTATTTTCCACAGTTTCTACTCTCTGCTAGATATCTTATTTCTTGAGTTTTATTTCTTCCTATTTCTTGGTTTACTCCTTCCTTTGATTGGAGCATATTCTCTAGATTTCCAGAAAAGGAGGTAAATACTGGAAACTTTTTGAATTAAGCTGCTATATAGACCTCATCTAGGTTCAAGATTGGAGACAAAGATTACTTGCATTTGGCTCAAATTATTTTTACTTTGATTTGTACTATACTGGTAGACAAAATTGCAAAAATGCATGAGAGGAGGTATAAAAGAGAAACTGTTTATGGCTTAAATTGTGCTCAAAGTTCTGTGGCCAATGCAGCCTGCACAGAATGGGCAAATCTTATGATCATAAATACAACTAATTGGATGTTTGCTGCTTTTTGTTTCATTGGATTGGGAGGAGGCAAAATGTCAGCATTCAAGAGTCTGCCTGATACTCTTTTGTTTTATTACTGGGGCATTTGGCCATTGCTAAACACTCCTTGTGTATATGAAAATGTTTTATTTTCTCAGTATGCTTGGTTGATGATTTGGCTGGATGGAACATCCTAGATTTGAAAATCATTTTTCCTCCCAATGGTGGATGCTTGGCTTCACTGCTTTTTAGCATCCAATATTGTTCTTAAGTAATCCAATGCCATTCTCACGTATCTTCATTTTTGTTGTATCATTTTCTTTCTGTCTTAATATATTTTGATTTTCTCTATAACCATTAAGTTACATCACTTGTGAACCTTCTCCAGCCTCTTGTCCACCTCCACTGCTACATTGATAGCGGTCGCAAGGGTAGAGAGGAAGGGAACTTCCTGCTTGGGTAGATACTTATTATCTGCCCTTGACTCCCTTCAGGTACTTTTCATGCTTCAAAAAACTGACTCTAGGTTTCCCTTTCTTCCATTGTTTCATGGCACTGGGACTGTAAATTTCAAGGCAGATCTATATTCCAACTGATTAAAAGAACATACCTGACATGGTTGATAATGAAATACAGAGATGATTCAAAGAGTTTAGGAACTATGATGAGTTATAAATAAATGGACTGGTACAATTATGATGAGTTATTAATAAATGGATTGAGCCTATTTAAATCAAAACCAATGCCAAGTAAAAGTGAGAAGTATGGTTAAAGAACTGAATACAAATTTATAAACATTGAAAATGTGGAAATAATAAATTCAAAAGATTGTGAGAAGGAAGTTTGGAATTCCAATCTACACACTTTTTATATTTAGTGGATAATAAGTGGATAATGTCTCAGTCTAATAAGTAGAGAAATAATGGTTTGAGTACAACAGTCATCCATTTTAAGAATTCAAATCTGATAATCTCATGTAAAATGAAAGATATTAAATTATTAGTGATTGCTACATCCCCTTCTTTTAAGGAAGAAGTATTCTTTTATGTCTTGAATAAAGAATCCAAGTTATTGGCTAGGAGAAACACAGCAGGAAAAAGGTGTCCATGACAGTTTGAGTATCCTTGGATATAGGTAGAAGACTAGGAATTTCATGAAGTTTTACCATGTGTTACTTTTTTCAGAGACCAATAAATACCTTAATTACTTTTAAATTATTCTTGTTTTTTATTGGTATTTTCTAGAATGACACTGTGCTGTGATTGTGATACAATGTAGTTTAGCTGTCTGTGTTGTACATCTGTAAGTGCTAACCTACATACTTTGTAAGATTAAACTTACATATACTCATATTTTAAGAGAAAGGGGACGTGAAATGGTTTGTTATCCTCTTCAGTTGAGAAAGTAAAAATACAAATCATGGCCTGAAACAAGTTAGCTTTCATTCCTTTTCAGTTTTCCCACCAGCCACTCATAGGTCTTACTCATCCCTATTATAAATACAGGTCTATTTATTTCCTGTAGAATTGTAGGATTAAGATCTCATAAGATCTCAGAGTTTTAAGGTACCTAGAAGATTAAATGACTTGTCCAACTTCTCTCAGGTAGTTAGTAACAGACTTTTGACTGAGTTTCTTTGCACATCATCTCTTTAAAGTTACAATTCTCCAATTATGATAGACAACATTTTCTAGAGAGTCAGACCCAGATATGGGTCAAACCCAGAAATCTGTCATAAGAAGTACTTCAGTTGTCATAATCCATGTTTGGGTATACATTGTTTTAAGTTTGTTTCTACTAAGGCAGTTCAGTTGCCACTCATCTCACAAAATCCTTATATCAAATTGCTGTCAGACCTGCTTAATAATAACGGAGTAATTTTTGTTCCAGTCCTTACAGAAAGAAAACAGATGAATATGACCTCATTGTGCTTTATCGTTCAGTTTTCAGAAGTTGCAAACAACTAGTTATTGTCAAGATAAGACCCAAAGTGGCTCTTTCACATCATGGTTATGTTGGTTTAACCTGTTTGAAACTGTGCAAATCTTTAGTAGCCATTTACATTTCAGTCCTAGAAACCAATCTCAAATTCCTTTCTTATAGATGATAACAACTTGTAGGTAAATGCAATTTCTGTATATGCCATCTGCAGCCTTATTTCATGTTTTTCTCCATCTGCATTATAAAAGCTTTATGAACCTGGGCTATACTGCAACGACGTAGCTCACCGTCCGTTGGTGTTGCTGAAACCAGTCTTCTGAGACGCCTGTATGGACACGATTTCACAGGTAATGGGCTGTTTCAGTTCTGCTTGAGCTTTCATTGCCATCTCCACCCCAGCGACAGCTGCGTTTTACTGTTGTCATTTGGAATACATAAATAAAGGCGAGAACACTGATATTCCTTTTGATATTTGTTTCATAAATAATTAGGGTAGGTGCAGAGACTGTGCAGTTGCTTTGAATGAAAAATGCCATATAATTTTTGACAATTTAGCATATTTTCATATATTATACATGCGTTTATGAGCAGAGCATTGTTTATGATGGTTCTGAATCACATTCTAAAAATTGTCTGCCAGATTTTCATATGCCTTATTTTTGGCAAATTATTTTTTTAAATGAAATAAGCATATGTCTTATCAGTAATGAAATGAAAAATAATACAAATAAAGTCATTGAGTTGGGAAGAAAATACAGAATTTTTCAATGCAGAGGCTGACAAACTATGGCCTGTGTGCTGAATCCAGTCTTCTGCATATTTTTGTAAACAAAGCTTTATTGGAACACAGCTGCTACCATCAGTTTCTGTTATTCTCCAGGCAAGAATACTGAAGTGGATAGTCATTCCCTTCTGCAAGGGATCTTCCTGACCCAGGAACTGAACCCAGGTCTCCTGGATTGCAGGCAGATTCTTTTCTGTCTGAATCATCTGGTTAGCCCCATCTATGACTATGCGTCAATTATAACAGTACAGTAGTTTTAACAGGTACAATACAGCCCAGGAAGGCTAACTGTTTACTATTTGATGCTTTATAGAAACAGTAACCCAGTATTTGCAACCTTCACAGAATTCTTGGGGATTTTTTGAAAATAACACAGAAGTATAAACTCCATACTTAGGGATTTGATTTCACTTGTGCTGGAGAGAGGTTTAGAGTTTCCTACATAATTTGAATGTGCAGCAAGAATTGAGAAACAATAAGTTTACATTCCTCCCGAAGTACATTACATTGTTCTCAAAAAGTTGGGGAGGAGGGCAATAAGAAACACTGTCAGATCAGTCATCATCTCAGGTAAGAACAAACTCAGGATGACTTTCTTCTTTTCTTGGTTGACTTCATGAGCCACAAATTATCTGGCATGACTTGAGATGATCTTAGAGAAGTTGAACACCATGTAAAATATATTTAGTTTTGTTCAGAGGAAAGAAAATTCATTTTGAGTTGAGGTTTCAGGGAAGGCATCACAGTGTTTATTTTGAACTGTGTGTAGATGCTTCAAATATGGGAAGGATCCAATACCTCAAATAGGCTTGCTGTAGAGATTGCCTTGTTTAAATAAGTCTACTCTAGAATTCCAGAATCGGAGTTTATCCATCTTGGCTTACCTTTGCCCAATTCAGTTCAACAAAATATATTAATCCAAGCACTGTTAAGTATCGAGTACATCACAACGAACAAGAGAGACATGACCTTGCTGTACTGGAGACTCTGTCCAGCAACAGTACATTGTGATAAACACATTGATAAGGCAAGTGCACCTTTTAGTCATATAGGAGAGATCCTTACGCAGCCTTTCAGGAGCTAGGAAACCTTTTCAGACCACATACCTTCTAAGTTGGGATCCTTTGAAAGATTGGTGTGGAGTAGGTTAGAGTAGGGCTGCTCAGAGGGGGAAGATAAGAAGGATAAGTTTAAGCAGTGGCAATAATATTGGAGTGATTAGCACAGAGTACTAGAGATAGATATGGATTCGGAGTTTAATTAGAGTTAAGATTTTAAGTGCCTTTTAAATGTTGTGTTGAGGTGTCTGGACTTTCCACAAGACAACAGTAAATTCTGAAAGAGTTTTGAGTTGTAGAATGACATGACAAGAAGGCAAAAATGTTATTCTACTTTTATGTGAGGGGAAATAGTCAAGAAAGAACAAGTGTTGAGACAGAAATAATTGTTATGGTCTTCTGGGGCACAGAGAGTGTGTCCTATGAAGAAAGACAGTGATAACACAAGGAGATAAACATGACTTTTACTAATTTGGAGTCAAAATCCTTATATGTTGCATGTAAAGAGGGAGAAGAAGGAATCTGGAATGACAGAGGGTATAACTCTATCTTTGTTTAAGAAAAAAACAGTTGCAGTGCCTGACATTGACCTATAGAATTTGCTGCTTCAGTTTTTTTTTTTTAAATCTTTATTGCCTCCAATTCTGCTCCTACTGAAGTACCTATAAAAAAAGCTCTGGCTCTACTGAGACCACCAGGGCAAAGTCAATTTGCTTCATGACCCTCGAGGAGAGGGTTGATTTTGAGGATTTTATTTTGTAATGGCTGGGGGCTCATACTGAAATGAGCTGTGACACATTCACAACTATCTTAATATTGCAAGATGTAAAAGGCAAGGATATTTGCATACCTTTTCTGCTAGCTTTGGACAAGAAACCCCTTCACCTTAAAGATCCATTCATCCTTCCAAATGATCCCACTTAATGTACGACTCATATTCATTCAACTGCTGTACTTGGAACATTTAAAGGATCCATGGGCCATTTACTTCTTTTAGAGATTGTTAGCAATGTTATCCTGGGGATTTATGCTTCCTTTACCATGTTTTGTGAACTGTGAGATGGGCCTTTACTATTCATTTATCCTGGTCCTGAAAAGGCAAAGCAAGAATAAAAGAAAATAGTGAGGAAGGCAATGTTTATGTTTATTGTTTGTACATTGAGCATTGGCAAAACAGTATTCTGCATTCAAATGAAAAATATTCAGCAATGTATGTGTCAATTATAGAACTACTCAGTGAAAAAGATACATTTTATCTGCATTCGTATTGATTCCAGGTTTGTCATACAACATTTTTATTGAAAGTAGCACATGAATTACTATGAAAATAGCAGGTTCTTGAATTCTCTTGCTAACTCTCTTCACTTTGCGTCTTTGCATTGTAAAGTTTTCTCTTTCACTTTAATAGCCGAATATTAAATGCAAGTAGGTGTGAGGACTGAAACTGCATAGCTGGTAAAATTAACTATCCTATTTAAAAAATATAATTTCTTCTTCCTTTTGCCATCCTTTCCTATTAGTTTGGAAAGTCCTCTGTAACATCACAAGTTACTTCCTCTCCATATGCCAATTTCTCACCTCAGTTCTAGTCATAGTAGATATTTGATCTGTGTTTAAAATTTAATTGAATTCCCTTTTCCACTCACTCTCACACTGAACTGTCTTAAAGACTCTCTCTTTTGTCTTACAAATATGAGTCATTTTTTATTTTCTCTTTGCAGCATCACTTCTCTTCCAAGTGTCTGAGGTTCTCACAGAGTTACCATTCTTCTGGTAGGTTTTGATATACTTGAGTTTGAAGTGTTTCTGCCTTCAACCCACCTGTGCTTGGCATTTCTAAAAGTGGTAAAAGAGTTTCATGGTTATGCATAATTATAGATAGTGAGAATACTTTTATCTATAGGAAATGGTGAATTCTAAAATCAATATTTCTTTATTGAATCTCTGTAGGAAAATATACAAAAGAAATAGCTTTTGTCTTAAGAAGCTTTTCAGGGAAAAATACTAGGAATCCCTTATTTAGAGCACAATTAAATGGCAAACATGATGATACTGACTATAGGAGTAGCAATAGGTATTCAGAAAAGGACGATAATTCTAGGAGTTGGGGTAATTGGAAATCTTTAATATCAAAGATAGGACTTGAACTGGGAAATGAAAGATGAACAAAATTAGAAGAGACAGAGTGATGGATAGAGTGGAGGTGGCAAGGCACTGAGGGAAGATAACAGCTACTTTAAATAGAGAAAATGACCTAAACAAATAAGGAAGACAGCCTCAGTTTATGGCGGAAGCTCAGCCTGGTGAAATCATGTACATGCCTCCACCACTTTACCCATAACTACGTCTGCCTTCCTGGACTGGGTTTGACATTCATCTTTGTGTATCTGATTTTGATTTGAGAAACCAGAGCTGTAGTTCTTATATTCTTGATTTTAATTTTTATTTCCCTTGCTTGCTTCATCCAATATCCTGGGCTCGTGGTACTAAACCAGACTCAGGTTTTCTTTTGTTTCTCTGCTTGATCTACCTTGCTGCTTTTGACTGATTTCTGAACCTACACCACACTCTGCTCCTTAATGGTTTAGCAGAAGAAATAAGATGAAAACTATGGTTTATTTTGAGTTACTAAAGGGCTGTCACAGTTGAGTATTGATTTTCTCAGATACATATGAACTTTCTCTAACCTACTTTTTGTCTTGTTTATCATAAATTTTCAAAAGAAAGATAATAAGGAACTATAACAATATGCTTTAAAACTTCCAGAAGATTTACTCGTAAGATGGGAAAAAATTAATCATCTTGTCAATAATGACTTTGCTATTCTGTTGATCAGTGAGCTCATAAATATGTGTAATGCATGGTTCTAGGTCCTAGCCATAGAGAAATAAATACATACATCCCTCAAGGAGCTTGCATATTGGTGTCAGGAAGAAGAAAATATACACAGAATAACTGATTAATTTAATTTCATTGGACAGGGTGATACTTAAGCTGAGATGTTCAGGAAATTCCCTGGTGGTCCACTGATTAGGACTCCAAGCTTCCACTGCAGGCACAGGTTTGATCCCTGGTTGGGGAAATAAGATCCCACATGCCACCTGCCATGGCCAAAAAAGAGCTGAGATGTTCAATCAGAGTATCTTTGAGGAAATGATATTGAAGGTGGGATATGACAGGACAGATAAAAAGGAATTAGCCATGCAAATAATTAGGGGAAGAATATAAGCAATAGTTAAAAATGCAAAGGCTTTAAGTGGGAAAGAATTTGATGTATTCAAGAGACAGAAATAAGGCCAGCATGTTTTGAGTATAGTGGGAATGAAGATAAAAATAAAGCCTTATGTATAGTGAGAATAAGGATAAAATTAAAAAAATGCGTATGTTAATATATTAGATTTCTAAAAAGTAGGTACTTTCCCAATGCCCCATGTTGCTCCAGTTTTTATGACATATGTGACATTTCTATTTAATTTTTTGCTTACCTTTAGGGGTTAACTGAAGGTCAGATATTTTGAAAGACTAAATCAGTTTCTAATCCTGTGG